AATTTTTTAATATTTATTTATTTTTTTAGTTCTCGGCGGACACAACATCTTTGTTGGTATGTGGTGCTGAGGATCGAACCCGGGCCGCACGCATGCCAGGCGAGCGCGCTACCGCTTGAGCCACATCCCCAGCCCTCCTACTATTTTCTTGGGATAAATTCTCACAGATGAAATTGCTCAATCAAAGAACATATACTTTTTGTGTGTGTGTGATAGTGCTAGGGATCAAACCCAGGGCCTTGTGCATGCAAGGCAAGCACTCTACCAGTTGAGCTACATACATCCCCATCCCAGAACATGTACATTTTTTTAAAAATATTTTTTTAGTTGTAGATGGACACAATATCTTTATTTATATGTGGTGCTGAGGATTGAATCAATGACACACACGTGCAAGGCAGGTGCTCTACCACTGAGCTACAGTCCCAGCCCAAACGTACATTTTTCAGGGCTATATTGCCCGCAGAAAGGTGGTTTAATTTTATTCTTTACCATCACAGAATAAGAGTGATCATGTTCCCTGTACTTGGGCCAGTACTATGCAATACCTTCTTTTAACTCTTATTAAGCTAATGTACTGATGAGCTGATCATTTTTTCAAATGTTACAGACCATTTACATTTATTTCTTGGTGAACTGCATGTTTTTCTGGTAGAGATAGGTCTAGGTTTAACTTGTAGTAATTGAAAGTGGTCCTTTCTAGTTGTACCGCCAGCCTTTTGGTCTGAGGAGGGATAAGCCTCTGTGTGCAACAGAGGTAAACAGAGCTCTGTGGGAACTGCTTGGAATGTGGCCTCTTCCCATCAAACGCTAGTCTCTGTAAAGTGAACAGGTTGATTCTACAAGCTTACCTCTGAAAATTGGTCTTGTTAATTCATAGTGTGTTATTAGTTTTCAATAAAAGTTCTTCATGACTGCAACAGATGGAAATCTGGTTTAAAATTGTTATGTGCCCTGTCTTAAATGTTAGTGTATTTTGTGAAGAAGGCTTCCTGAGTGACTCATGAGAAGTGTTGGGAAAGTGTAACATTTTGATTCTGGCATTTGAATATTAAAACTTAATAACAACATCCATTTGAGCATTTGGCATAGATTATAGATAGCACTAGTGAAATGAAATAATGTGATTAAATACCAGTCATTTTTTTCTTTGCCGATCTCTGCGAAAGGAAGAATGAAGATCCTCAGTGACCCATCTACTGTGTATAATGGAATCTGTTCTTTTTTGTTATGGTGGTTGTGGTGGTGTGGAACCCAGGGCCTGATGCATGCTAAGCAAGTACTCTGCCACTGAGCTAAACTCCCATCCTATAATCCATTCTTTTCCCACCACGTTGACCCTGATCAGATTATTAGTTGACATTTGTGGGGGTGGAGAGCATAACTAAAACAAATCCTGGGCTAGCGGCATAGCTCAGGAGTAGAGCACTTGGCTTTCATGTATGAGGCCCTAGATTTAGTTCCCCACACTACAGAAAGAAAGAAAAAGAAAATCCTATTTAGGCAAGACATTCAAATTATGACATGTTATTCTTTGGAGTTCTGTGATTAAAATGTGTATGTAGAGACCCTAGGGAAAGAAAATAAATGCTATCCATTTTGTTTCCAGGTAGCAGCACTGCCTGCATCGTGGTGCTGGACAGAACTAGCCACCGCTTACACACAGCGAACCTGGGTGACTCAGGCTTTCTGGTTGTCAGGGGCGGTGAAGTTGTGCACCGATCAGATGAGCAGCAGCATTACTTCAACACTCCGTTCCAGCTCTCAATTGCTCCCCCAGAAGCCGAGGGAGTCGTGTTAAGTGACAGGTAATCTCCTCTCACCCGTTACATTTGAATAGGATATTTCTCACCCACAGGTTCCCTCCCACACCTTGTATACAGTAGGAAACAGGCATTTTCCTATGAAAAAGAAGCCTCAGAATGCTTTCATAATGAGGACCTTCTAGTTGGACTTTGAAAGGTATTTTGTTTGAACTAATTACAATAGTCAACTTGAATTCCGATAATCAATAATTTGACAAGACTATGAAGTATTTCAGGTATCAATTTTTAATACCAACATGCATTAGTACATGCAGTTTGTCTGTTAATTTGTGTTAGAAAAATGAGTCATTAGTCATTGTTCATGCATGCCACTGCCTGTACAAGGTTTTGCGTATATTGTTAGGGAAGCTTATAGACAGACATAATGTTGTATCTGTCAGAATAACTTCCTCATTCTGAAGCCTTCTTATATGCATCCAGTAGAACTGCAGGAAACAGTCAGAAGTGGTCTTGTTTTGCATGTTGTCTATGATAATGTCATTGAGGTGTTCTCTTTTCCTTTCTGACATCTTCTCTCTGTTCATGTTTAAATTGTTAATACCTTCCTATACAGTTAGAATTTTTTTTGAGTCAACTTTCACATCTTTTCGTAGGTTGAAGTAAGGTTAAGACAGTCTCAGGTTTCACTGTGTTAACAAACTTGTAGGATCTGGCACAAACACTGGCACTTCATAAATAGGTAATGAACCTTTTGTAAACATAGAACCATTCTACCAAGTGCCTTTTTGTTAGTTTTTTTTTTTTCTATTCACTAGCTCTTATTTAACCAGATCTTAAGTCCAAATTAAGATAAAATGATTATTTCTGCCATCTTCAAATATGAAAAGAACACATTATATAATTAGGTATTTGATGTTGCCCATTTAAAATGTCTGTTGCAGACTTCTAGAGAATGGGAAGTACTTTTTACCTTCAGATTTCGGCAGTTACCATAATTAGAAGAATATTCTTCAATTGTCTGTAATACACAGTGATATTAGTTTTATTGGAGTGGGGAGACCTCAGAGCCTCCAGCGCCTCAGTAGATGCCAAGTTCAGCTAATAGTTTTTGGAGAATGGCACTTTAACTCTCCTTTATTTGCTGCTGCTTGTTCTGGCTTTTGAGTGCTGGAGCAGCCCTGCTGGATCACACATGCTAGCTATCCTTGGGACACCCTGGTTAGAGCCGCACTCTGCCGGCTTGCCAGCAAGGTGAAGGTGGCTTCCCCTGGAGCCCAGAGATAGATAGCCTGCTAGCATGTGATTGCAGCTCATGTTTCAGTGCAGTCAAAAGTTCCCAGCGGCACAGTATGTTCAATCAAAATGGGCAGAACTGCAGCTGGCGGAACACCAAGCTCATGGGTGGGAGTATTAGCAGAGGACAGACTGTCCAATGGGAGCAAGTCTCTCACAGGCAGAATAGCAAAGGCCACTCCTGGGGAAAGAAAAACCTCAGCATAAAATAGAGCATCAGTGCCAACCTGGTCATTAATCTACACTTCTAGAATCTGATTGGTTTTCAAAGACTGAGCAGATGAGTGTCTTGCATAGGAATCAACCTGGTTTCCAGTAGTTTTACAAGTGTGTGTGTTTCCTATCTACTGCCTGTATCTCTTTAGTTATTGGGCACTCTTTCCATAAAATAGTATTTTAGTCTTAACTTAGAGGTTTTCCTTTAGTGACTGTTTTTACAGAATATTTATTATATAAATGTGTAAGTTTTCCCTACAAAAGCACATTGCAGAACTTTAGATGTGCCACTTCTTTCCTCAGTCAAGCAAAGAATGGACCAAAAATGTTTTGAGTGCACTCTGTGTAAATCCCTAGGTGTGCACTGATTTTTATGTCTTTACATATTCTGTAACATCATTTATGTAAGTATAGGGGTTTTTCTGTTCAAGCTCAGGTGCCTTGGTTCTGGCACTCCCTTCTGGGTCAGGGCCTTTGAGTTTTTTTCCTGGTATCTATTCCCTAATTACAGGTTAAGGCAGATTATTAAACATCTCATCTTTCCCTCTCCTTGGAAGCCCTGAAGTGGAAAGGTGGAGAAGAGGGTGAGAATCAGCCTCAAAGGCCCACCTGGAGTTCTCTCCTTTTTTTTTTTTTTTTTTTTTTTTGTACCAGAGATTGAACTTGGGCACTCATCCACTGAGCCACATCCCCACATCACTGAGGTGCTTGGTACCTCGATATTTCTCTCCCATTCTTATGTCTGTTTTCATCACACATTGTGATGAGAAAGATCTCCTGTGTGTGTGTGTGTGTGAGATTCCTTACTTTGTTTGGTACTAGGGATTGACTGGGGCACTTTACCACTGAGCTACCTACCCAGCCCTTTTATTTTTTGAGACAGGACATCTCTTAAGTTGTTTAAGGCCTCAGCCTTCTGAGTCACTGGGATGACAAGCGTGCACCACTGTGTCTGGCTTCCCATCTGTTTTTTAAAAGCTGTGCACAAAAAATTTAGTGAACAACTTCCTTCTATCTGTCCCCAGCCACACATTCTCTAGAAGCASCCACTGTTTCTTTGACTGTCTTCACATTGTTTCTCTGTATTTCAGAGTCTCTACATCTGTGGGTCTCCTCCCTTTTTTTTTCTTTTTGTTACAGAAYCAGTTGCATGTGCTACACACTGTCTGTGCCATGCTTTCTTCCTTTAACAACATCTTGAAGAGTTTTTTTCCTCAATTTGACATACTTTGTTTCTCTAATCATTCGGTCATTTAACAGATGTTTCTTGAAGATGTACATGCCAGTCGTACTCATAAATACCAGAGCACTTTGTGACCACTGGGAGACATACAGTCCTTACTGTGCCAGAACCACTGCAGGTGTCTGGAATTCTTAGAGATAGGCACGCTCTTCTCCGTGGGTGCCCAGCATCCCACCCTGACTAATGCAGCATCCTGAGAGTGTGTACAGGGGAACTGACAAGTGCAAGTGAGTAAGAGAGGATGGAATTTGGTACTGAAGAAGTAGGAAGTGAAGAGTCACTTCCCCAAAGTCATAGAGTGTGTTAGGTCTGACTCAGAAGAGAAGGCGTCCTCCTCTTAATCCACGTGCAACTAATCAGCAGACTCAGTTTTTCTGTTGGTTTCAGTTAACCCATTAAGTCCCCAGTTTTTGGTTCTACAAACATAATTATTTCAAAGTTACCATAAATGGTATATTTGTTGCTCAACTAAGTTTTTTTAGGTATACCACGTCTGGAACAATGGGACTAACTGGGTTAAACTTTGGAAACTTAYATCAGAGTTTGTTTTCCCATTAATTTTTCTTATTAAAGTTAGGAATTTCAGAATGACTTTTTTTTTAATTGACTCCATTTTAAAAGCCTCATTGCATTATAAATGATGCCTGTAGGATCCTTTGAATTATATCATCTCTAAAAGGCTTCCTTAACTTTACCCTACCCTGTCTTTGCTACAGCCCGGATGCTGCTGATAGCACGTCTTTCGACGTCCAGTTAGGAGACATTATCCTGACGGCGACAGATGGACTCTTTGACAATATGCCTGATTATATGATCCTTCAAGAGCTAAAAAAGTTAAAGGTAATTAACTCAAAGGTTAGCCTCTGGAAAGTGGCCCTCTCTGGATAGCTGAGTTTTATTGAGTCATTTATGTTGTCTCAGTAGTTTTGGAAAGGACTATTTTGTGAACTTTAGGAAAATAATATTTCTAATATTCCAAGCAATTATAAAAATTATAAATGGAAATATTTACAAGAGAACTTAAGGGAATAAGAGGCTTCTTACCTAAGCATTTAGTGGAGTGGTTAAAGTAGGAAAAGTCCAGATGAGGACATTTCCTGTTTGATTTTAATGGTGTTGACTACTGGTTGTTTTTTTCTCTTTTTATTCTTATAATACACCCAGCAGGTGTTGAGACTGGGAAAGACAGGAAATAGCCATCCCAAACCAGCCAAGGAAAGCAGGCAGCTAGGAGCCTTGATGTGACCTGAGCTGTCAGCAGTGGTGACAATTCAGGCTTCTCCCATACAGAGGGCAGGAAGTGAAAACAGGCTGTCCGTATTCTCCTGGTTTTGTAAAAACTCTGGGAAAAATTAGTCTTTTCTAAGCTCTTACCTGTAACTATTGTGACTTTGAGTAGACTTCTTCAATTATTAAGCAATAGTTTCCTTACCTATAAAATGGGGAGTAATAAAGGTCCTGTCTACAGGGTTACTGGGACAATTAACCCAGACCAGGTGAAGGGAATCGTTAGTATCATACCATGTTTGTGTGTGCAGTAACTGTTAGGTGCTTACCTGTCATGGGCACTGTGCTCTGTGAACAGAAATCATGCTAAAGCTTAGGTTCTAGTGGGGGGGGGAGCAGATAATACGAAGAAGGGAATGTTGGTGGTAAATAGTAATGATGCACAACAGGATGAGGGAATGGAGGGGTCACTACTTCAGATAAATTGGTCAGGGAAATCCTCTTGGAGGAGGTGACATTAAAGCAGAGACCTATTATTTCTGTTAGACTGAAATGCTTTAGTCCTTTGAATGTTACAGATAAAATGGACCTTGTTTTCCCATCACAATTTTGCAGATGAGGAAGTTGGAAACAGCAAAGACAAGGGTATGGCTTAAGGTTAAACAGCTAGGCAAGAGTCTTTCGTCATGATATAAAACCCTGAAGATATTTTCAATAGTACAACTGGTGACTTATTTGGAGAGCAAACTATAGTTGGCCGGGATGCATTCCCAAGCAGGGAGACTTTTGAAGTCATCATGAAAATGCTATCAGGATCCACTTTTCAGTCCATCCCATTTTAACAAGAATACCTTAAAATTTTCAAATGGGGAAGCAAAAATGGAAACCTAAACTTGAGGGCCAGAGACCATCCCAGCAAAGGACTTTGTGAGAGATGTGCAGGAAGTACCAATGGGCTCAGCATGTTAATCAGAGCATCACATTCACTGTCTTCTCTGACCAGAATAAAACTTACATGGTAGAAAATTAGATAAATGTTACTGTCTTTAAAAAGTGATATCTGCAAGAAGCATACTTGCATGCAGAAGTCATGTGAGGTGTTATGGTTAAAAATAACTCTCTTATCCTTTCATATCAGAACTCAAATTATGAGAGTATACAACAGACAGCAAGGAGCATTGCTGAGCAAGCTCACGAGCTGGCCTATGATCCAAATTATATGTCACCTTTCGCACAGTTTGCATGTGACAACGGATTGAATGTGAGAGGTAAGCATTCTTTGGGAATGTCATAAGGACTAACTGTGGGAGCTTTCTGGCTGTGGGTGAGACTGTGTCAGTGTCCTCTCCTAGCTTTGAGCCTGTGCCTTTGAGCACAAGCAAATGTACGTCCTGTGTCCTCCCACTGGGTGCCCTTCAGAGCTGAACTTTATCGGCTACAGCAGCCAATGGAACCTGAAGCCCTTTATTGCCACCACTGCACTGCTTGGAACTGAGCCCTAGAGGCCTCTGAGCTCTGCCTGGAGAGCCTGTGCATTCCGAACAGTTTAACATTCTGCCCTTCACGTGTCTGACATTTCTCTTCTCCCTTCCTCTGGCTCTGTGGGACTCGTTGACAGTATTTGCCTGCCAAATTGCCAGAGCGGATTTTGAAAAGGGAAGCAATGTGAAACTGCCCTTGACTGAAGAGTCCTTCTATCTACTGCATGCTGTGACTTTGGGAGCAGGCCAGTTTTGGAGCTGGGATGACATGTTGGTGCTAGCATATCAGAGCTAGTGGAATTGGTCAGGCTCTTGCTGATGTAATATTATGACATGTAGAGCATTTCTTAGCCCTCCAGGAAATGTTAAAATAGGAGAAAACACACACCACACACACACACACACACACACACACACACACACACACACACACACACACACGCCATAGCAGTTTGGCAGATTAGAGTACAAGGCTATTCCTAGTTTAAAAACATTGGATATGTTTGTCCAAATTAGGGTTGTGGTAGAAGCATGTAACTTTCTTGTCAGGCTGAAGTTACTGTAACAGATTTTGTCTTTACTGTGATGATGTAAACAGAAGATGTGGTGGCCGTTTTCATAGAGCTCCTGTTGTAAAAGAGCAGGGGAGATTTTTTTTTTTAAGCTTCAATTAAATTATGTGAAATTTCTTGAGTGTTTTCTGTTTAACTGTTTCTCTTTATCAAATACTTTTTTCTGTGAGGGCTTATTAATAAGCCAAACAGGCCTGATGTGCAAGCATTTGACTAGGGATTGAACCCAGGGGCCCTCGACCACTGAGCCACATTCCCAGCCCTTTTTTGTATTTTATTTGGAGATAGGGTTTTACTAAATTGAGTTGCTTAGGGTCTCACTAAGTTGCTGAGGCTGGCTTTGAACTCATGATCCTCTGCCTCCGCCTCCAAAGCTCCTGGTTATAAGTGTGCGCCACCACACCCAGCACTAGTATTTACTTAAGACCACAGTTTTGAGTGATTTTTTTTTTCCTTTTAAAATGTGTACTGATCAGTTTTCATTCTTGTTTTAGGTGGAAAGCCAGATGACATCACCGTCCTTCTTTCCATTGTGGCTGAGTATACAGACTGACTCACCGAGCTGTCGACTCCTGCCTTCCCTTTTTTGTCCCAATTACCCTGCCATGTGTGCTGATCCTGCTGGCAGGACCACGTTTCTTTGCCACTGATCTCAATGGCCAGTGATGTAAGCCTTTTGCCTGTCTTTTTGAGACCCATTGAGATCTTTGTTGAGAACCACTACTGTCATTCACTAGCTCATGTCTGCTGGCAACAGTTGAAGAGAAGCAAGATTTGAAGATCAGCCTTCATTCTTGTGGAGGTTTTCAAAGGCTATTACTTTTCAAAAGCAGTTGAAGTATTGAGAATGGGTAATGTTGGTAAAGAGAATTCAAAATTACAGTGTGTTAAAGGGATTTTAAGTCTGACAAGTCATAAATCATGATACGTCTGCTAGAAAACATACATTATTCATCAAAAGAAATGTCACATGTTTTCCACTGGCACCATCTTGGTTATGGTGATCGGTTGTGGCTTTATGTTTTCATTATAAACTCCTATTTTCCAGGAGCTCATAAATATGCTCTGGGTTATAAGATCTTGATCCCAGAAGCTTTTTTGTTACACATTGGAAGAAAAAAGTAATTATTTTAGTTCTATGGATGCAAATATTTTGTGCTTTTAAAAGATGCTTAATTGTGTTCCCGTGATTAAAGTTTTGGCAGTTTATTAATTAGTCCAAATCATAGGCTGGTTGCCTGATATCYGGGGGAAGGGGGTATCCTTACCAAAATTTTTTAATGGAAATACTACTCAAGATTGCAAAAGTCCTTAAAGCCTAGAAACTTAGTGCTATGGCTGGAATTCCCCCTGCTGTCTGCAAGGTGCCCTGAGTGGGCTCTCTGGGCCCCAGGCTGACAGGTTGAGAATGGACAGCTGTAGCTGGGTTTTTGCTGGCTCACAGTCATGCTGCCCATGGAGCCCTCAGACCTTCCCCTAGGAGCCTTGCTTTTGCAGAGCATGCACTGAATCACTGCGTCCACCAGGCAAGAGCACGTGTGCAGTGGCAGCAGCACAGAGCCCACAAGGAAAACTCCTAGTGATGATCTGACTTTTGCAATTGCTCCAAACAGAAATGTAGGGGTTTCTGAATCAAGCTTAATGTTTACAGTTTCTGAATAGCCATTTTGCAGTGTATAGTTTCCTTATAAAAACTACCCTGAATTTGGTTTCCCATTACCTGCAGGCTCAAACTTATTTTTAAGGTTTATGTACAAGTTGACTGCTGTAAAGATATATATTTTTGAGTCAGTTTTTTCCTTCATTAACTTGGTGGTAGAAAAATATATATACTTAGAAATCCTTAAATTAAAGCCATGTTTTATATATACGTCAGGTAACATTGGTGTATAGATGAGAATGCAATTAAACCTGACGAGAATCTACTTGAGGAGAACACAGAAAGTTTTTTCTCGAGAGGAGATACTGACTCCCTGGTTTATTGCATTAAAACTTACGTTTGAGGTTACCTCAACTTGTTTTAAAAGATTTTGTTTTGTGAATTTGTACTGTATATTTGAGTAACTGTCAAGCTTTTGTTTTATTTAAAATTGTTTAACATGTACCATGTACATGTCATTACTATATTTCAATGCATCATGCTTGTAACAGGCATTTCATTTATAATAAGAATGAGTTATTCATTTGTAAGCCGTTCAATAATTTATCTACTATTCCTTAATTGGCATAATGTTAGATACCTATTTTGAATCACCTTTAATTAAGTGTCAGAATGCCTTAACTACCCTAACTTGACAAAACAGAATTCTTTGGTAGAGAAGATAGAGGGCGGGTGGGATGTGGAGGGAGACTGTTTAAATAAGGAGAAACTATCATGCTCTGCTAGAATATGGACGCATATGTGGCGAGCGGGGTATTTATTTTGCACAAACTCTTTGCAGTCTCTGGGTATTTTTAAAAGTAAAGAAAGTTGCATCCTGAAGGGGTTGGTTAAAAGGAATACATTCATACTAGGATTGATGACTTCAACTCTTTTGTTTGGGTTTGTAATTACTTTTGGTCAGAAGTATGTAGCCTTATAATCTGGATATATTTTGCATCAATTTCCAATGCCTCCATTTACTTCCTGGTAGGAGCAGTAACGGTCAGGTTATTGGCTTTTCTCTGCTCTCATTTAACCCATCAAACAATCTTTGTAAAGCTAGATTGGTGGCGTTTTATACAACTCGTTTAATCAACTTACTTTTTTTGAGAAATGATTGTTAGAAACTGTCAATGTGGTTGTTCCAGTGACACTGAAAATAATGGGGCAAGAATTGAGTTTCATGGTGGAATTGACTTTGGACCTGGCTTGTAGTTTAGTACATAAAATACCCTGTTTTCTTCTTTCCCCTGTCCTTTTTGTGTTATGCACTGCATTTTATGACTGCTAGGGGTCAGGGCGAGTGCTGCTTAGCAAGTAACTCTCCTCCTCTCACTGGTCAGAGGCTGTGTGGGACCCAGAATAGAATTCTCCAAGTCTTACACCCAAGCTTCCAGGGGTGTGGCTGAGCTATACCACTTGTTGGGTCTAATTCTGAACCTGATGTGTGTGTGTGTGAACTGTATTTTAAATCAAGCAGTGTAAACACACACACACACATACACACACACACACACACACACAATTTGCCTCATGTAGTGGACTTTATAACAAAAGAGAAAATTTGGATTTCTAATTTACAACTGGCAAATTATTTATCCCTCTCTGGATGCACCAAAGACCAGTAAAGTTTATAGCTTTTCCATCTATATTTATAAAGCAATACTGTATTATAAAAATCAATATTTTTATCACATGCTTGAAATTTTTATTTTGTTCTGTTTTAAAATGTGCACTCAACATATCAGAACCTTGTTTCTTCCTATGAACTTAAGCTGCCTGCGCACAAAAAACAAACTTTTTTTTTTTAACCAAATGGAGATGAAGTAGATAAGAGTCCATAGGCTCTTAAAAACTGGAAGAAGAAATGAGGGGGGAAAAAAACAAGTTGTCCCAAATTATACTCACATGGTTGATGGGTACTAACTCCTAAAGAAATCCATTCCAGGTATGCGTGTCTGGGGTTTGGGCTGTGTCTAGAGTAGAAAAAACACAATTTTGAGCTTTGCAGATGGGAGTGTCCTCTCCTGTCAGCTGCATTTGTTCTGGATAGAGAGTAACCCGAATATGAAAACCACCTTCAGTACCACCAACCTACTACATCATGTAACAAGGCAGGAATTGTGAGAATTTACTGAGTCAGTTTTGAGTGTTCTGGAGATGGTCAGTAAGATTGGCGAGAACTGTGAATGTTTGTACCTCTGGATAAGTTCATGGTTCCTTGTCACCTTAATACGAGCTATCTTTGATAGAAGCTACAAAATTCAGTTGGAAACTGAATCACATTTTTATATTTAACAAATTTTACAATACCAGAAAAAAACAAAATCTGCTTATAAAACAAAATAAAAAGCAGAAAACATTTGGATTCTATTTATTTGTTAAAATTAAATTAAATTGAACTTCTCAACTAAAAATGTCCACGTCAGAATTTAACTGTTAGCAGGTAGTTTGTGGCAAAGATGGCTAAATAATGAAGCAAATTTGAATATGTGTATACTAATAAGCTGCTTTTTTTCTGTTGAGACTATCATTCTTTGTCTTACCCAAGAGGCAATTACCTGAATTGGATGTCTGAAATATAACTTATGCAGGAATAGTTCTGTAAATACATTTAAATAAACTGTAAAGATATTTAATAAATATAGTATTTATACTAATCTGTGTACTTCTTTTGGTTTGAATGGTAACTAAACAAGGCACCAGCCCTTAACATTGTCCAAGCTCTCCATTTCCAGGCCTCTTAGTCAGCCTTCAGTGAATCTGCACTTTGTGGCTGTGCATTTCTGTCCTTCACAATACTTTAATTGCCGTAGCTCATTCTCATCCACTGCTTTACTACATCTGTTAGCTCCCTCTAAACTCATCAAAATGGACTCATAACTGAATGTGAATACAGAGGTTTTCTCTGCTGAGGCTTTGCACCTCCTAARTGGTACAGAGTGAAATTACCCCAAAAAAACCAAAACCCTGGTGTGTGTATTCTTGGCACACTATCAAAATTCTAAAACCCAAAGTGTGTACAGTGGAGCAGCATAACTCTTCTGCAGGCCATGCTGCATCAAGGCTGCTGCTGAGATTGGTGTCTATTTTTTTAAAAATACATATATTTATTTTTTAGTTGTAGTTAGACACAGTACCTTTATTTAATTATATGCGGTGCTGAGGATCGAACCCAGGCCCTCGCATGTGCTAGGYGAATTCTCTACCTCTGAGCCACAACCCCAGCCTGAGACTGATGCCTATTTCAATGAAGAAATCAGAAACTTCATCCTCAGCAAGGAGACCTACAGGGTTACTTTTGTGTGTAAAAGTTCTTTATAGAGATCTGCATTTGTTACGAATATGAATTCAGTGTTAATCATTGGTATAAGCATAAGAGACATAAATTCAGCCTACTTTGAAAATGTAGTTGAAAATATGTGGGCATTGCCACTTTCCACAAAAAGCTTGGTGAAAGCCCATTTTCATTCACTGAGAAACATCTTGGGATGAACTTGAGTTTTTATTAGGTTATTGTGAGTAGCTATGACTCATTACTAAGCTACAAGAGCCAAATTCATTCTGGTTTCATTTRGAACTCTGTTCACAGTTCTGAAGCATACTAATCCACTCAGCCACCTTTTCAAATTCCTCACAAAATCTGAAGAACAATTGCTTGCCAGTTAATACTTATTGTTTGATGGTTTCCAAAAGACTTAGCAATAAGATGTTACAGAAGGCTGGTTCCTGGGGTTATAGAACTGCAAACAAGTCTGGGGGAGGGAGAGGCTCTCACCATAAGGTATTACATAACAGTGTTTTTGTTCCAAATTTTCAGTCTTGTTTATGCAGGTAAGAAGCTAATTCTTAAAGGGGCAAAGAACAGACATTTGTATCCCACATTCCATTCCAAACCCAGGCGCTCTCGTGTGGAGGTTGCTACACTATTTTAGATAATACAGAAATGTTTGACATCAAGGGCTGGGGGTGTAGCCAGTTAATAGAATGCTTGCCTTGCATGCACCAGGCCCTGGGTTCAATCCCCTGCAGCAGCACCACCACCACAACAATAATAAAAAAAAGTTTGACATCATTTCCATTAAATTATTTTCCTGTATCACATTGCAAATAAAAAATCATCCCTGAAAATCTGTTCTAATTGAAGGCTATGAAATCATATCTTACAAAATACAAAAAGACTCCAAAGTGGCTGGGGATGTGGCTCAAGCGGTAGCGCGCTCGCCTGGCATGCGTGCGGCCCGGGTTCGATCCTCAGCACCATATACCAACAAAGATGTTGTGTCTGCCGAGAACTAAAAAATAAAAAAATAATAAAAAAAAAAATTCTAAAAGTTAAAAAAAAAAAAAAAAAGACTCCAAAGTGAGGGAATGATTATTTTTTTCTAAGGGCTACTTCAAAAATCAGAGTTTTTTTCCCAATGGACAAAAGTGATGTTATTTGAAAAACCTGCATAACTTTTTGCAGTTTCTGAGAGTCCCAAACTCCAAAATGTTCACAAATACAAAATACTGGACTACTAGTCACAAAACTGTTTCAAGACGTCTTGATGCACTTCCATATCTGTTGTACACTAGACATGAAGACTGGGGCTTAAGGCGAAGCTATCACTGAGCTTTAGATGTGGAAACAGTGCCATTAATCACATCCTCGTCACTGTCACTTGCTATTGCCAGACTGTCCAAAGGGCGATTGAAGTGTTCTTGCTGGTCAGAAGAAACAGCTCCAAAGAACATGCAAGAAAACTAGAGAGAGAAAAAAAAAATGCAGTTTATTCCAAAGTGAAAGTTTGCCCAATTAATGCTCAAGGTGACAGCCCTTGCAGAACGCTGCCAGTGTGGTCCTCCTGTCTTGTTGGTGATGGCTCATGGATGTCATTATTGGCCCAACTAGTTCTAAAACAGACCCTTCCCTAACTTCAGAGGCCCAAGATGACCTTCAGCTGGGGCAGAGTTCTGCTGCTGACTTCCCCTGAAGCCATCAGAACTCCAGGCTGAGCCAGACCCTATGCTGGCTGTGTGAACTGAGCCATCTCTTCTCATTTTCCTGCTCTTTAGCCCTGTCTAAAAAGCTTCTGACCCCACCACTTCACAAGCTTCAGATGTGATCAATGAAAATGGCCACATCCTTAAAGTTGGAGGCTGTTTTTTGCCTTCATCCACTCAGGTCATCCCTCACACTGCCTTCAGTGCAGTCCCTACCCTACCCCGGGGGGCCACTCAGCAGGCTCACCCTCTTCTACCCAACCTTGAACCAGGGCTCACTTTCAAACTTAGCACAACTGGCATTTGGGACCTGATGACTGTTGTGGGCTGTCCTGTATTGGGAGATGCTGGGCAGTACTGCTAGCCTTTCCCCACTAGATGCCAGTAGCACCCCCTTCCCAACTTGTATCATCCAAATGGCGGATCTGGGGGAGGAGGCCGCCCCTGGTTAAGAACCACCACCTTAAATGTGGGCTGTCCTCTTGAAATTACCATCTGTGTGCCAGGGAGTCTCCAAGATTGAACTTCAGTCATCCTACTGCCTGCTTGGTGTCACCAGTTGCCATACTCAAGCCTTGAACCAGGTCCTCAAAACCTAAGTCACCCCGATCTCTCCCTTTTTCTTTACCCCTTCTAACCAACCCATGTCAAGAGTGTTACCTCCTAAGTTAGCTGTCTCACCTTGCCACTCCTTCCACCCCTCATTTAAGGAGTGACCAACTCAGAGGCTGTAACAGAGAACTTTCTTGCCTTACCACACCCCATTTTTCACATGGCTAAAGTTCTCTTGTAAAGATTCAACACCATCAACTGTTAAATCCCTTCAAAGACTTCAAATACCAAGGTACTTTATAAGGCTGTTTACACACAGTCCACAGGACTCTCCCAGCATAAGATGGCCCTCATGTAGCTTCCCCTTGAGCAATGCATTGCCTACCTCTGGCAATCTGCTCCCAGCTGCAGAACTCAGGCATCAGTTTCTTAAAACCAGAATGCCCCTCCAACTGCAGGGCCTTTGCACCTGCCCCCCCAAACTCACTTCCTTATCCCTTCCAGCTCAGCTTAAGCACAAGTTTCAAACTGAAGACCCCCCCGGCCTCCTGGAGTAGGCTGTTTAGCACCTTAAATCTCAAAGCACCCTGAACTTTTCATTGAACTTATCACAGCTTTTAAAAACTTCCCTATTTTTAGTCGCACGACTTTTATATCTGAATTTAGTCCCTATGCCTTATACCCTCTTTAGTCTCTAAAAGTTTGGGAACCTTATTTATTTTGCTGACCAGTTCCCTCATGTGCTCTCCAGGACACCCGCCTGCAGGAAACACTGGTGGAAGTCCATGGGAGCAGCATGAATGAATGAATAAGCCCCGTTCTTGGGTCATCTTCAATTTTGTATCAGAAGATGGGGATGCTCTGTAAGGTGGCAGTTCTAACAGCAGTGTGGGCTCGTCACTCCACATAGAAAACTCCAGCTTAATAAGGGTCAGTATGGACTGATGTCTGTGACAGAGKCCAGCCAGGAGCCAATTAATTAGGATCCTGTTTGTACTGCTGCAGCCTGATACTTTTCAGACTGTACTTACTATTAAAATATCAGCTAAGCCCACCTGCCCTATAAGCAAATGTACAATGTGTACAAATGGCTTATACTTTGAAATTCAATCACAAATACACCTTAATAATGAGTGATTACAATAAACAAAGGACACTTTGGATTAAAAAAAAAAAGCAGCTTRGCAGGGCTGGTGGCATGGTAGACCACACAGTGCCCCTGTGGACTAAGCCCACGAACCTGTAAAGGTGTTATGTCACGTAGCCAAGGGGAACAAAGGTCACAGATGGAGCCAGGGTTGCGAACAGCTGGCTGAACCAGCTGGGGGGCCCAAGGTGAGCACAAAGATCCTTAAGGGTGGAAAGAGGATGGAGAGGGTTCGAGTGAGCAATAGGAAAAGACATAAGGAGCCAGCGCTGGCCAGAAAGATGGAAGGGGACCATAAGAGAAGAGTAAAGTGGCCTCTAGAAGCTGGAAAAGGTAAGAAGCAGACTCCCAATTCCCCTGAACGTCAGTTCTGCTGACACCTTGACCTTAGCCAGTGAGCCATTCCAGACTTGGACCTTCAGAACTGTAGGATGATACGTTTGTGTTGTTTTCATGGCACAAAATTTGTGGAAATTCAGGGCTGGGGATACACCTCAGCTAGTAGAGTGCTTGCCTCGCATGCACAAGGCCCTGGGTTCAATAAATCTGTGGAAGGAGCATAGGAAACTAACACACTGACTTTCGCCATAACATTGCAGACACAATCTCAGTTCCCTTTTATGGGTCTAGCCTTGACCAAGGACTGTTGAATATGTATCATCGTATGCACATATCCCTCAGGGACGTTCATGGTGCCCCATGAGACCGGGAAGCTTAAGTGGACTTTGGTTTTTGAGAGCTGCCTGAATTTGCCATTGGCTTAGGGTAAGTGCTAATTTCTATCTCTCTTCTCTTTGGCCTTTAAATCTCACATGGCTGGATAATGGAGACTTCCCCATGTCTTTCAGTGAGAAAACTTGACAGCATCCATGCAGCCAGACAGTAGCCTCAAATCCCATGTAAACTGGGCAAGAAATGAATTAAAAATATGTCTAAATGTTGTGTGTGTGTGTGTGTGTGTGTGTGTGTGTGTGTGTTCCCTATGTTACTGCCCCTGAGAACTGTATATAACTCCCTACATTGAAGAAGCCACTGGTCATTATTTAGGATATAGAACTCTGTTATAGCTAATTTTGAAAATCCCCTTTTCCAAAGTAGCACACCTAGCATATATGTGTATGCATGTGCAGGCGCACGCACACACACACACACACACACACACACCCCATCTGGAATTTTGTGAAACCACCAGAGGGGTTTTAAAAACTTTCTTAGGATATCCCAAACCAGGGTTGAAGGTGTCCATACTACTGGCAATGCACTAGAAAGAGAGAAATGAGTAGACTCAGGTCTGCCCTTGATGAACTCACAGTCTACCTAGCACAGTAAATTAAGACATAAAAGAATACTAAAAAAAAAAAAAACAATACCCTTTTTTATGGATCTGGTAAATTGATATCAAAGCTTAAATTAAAAACAAATTGAGAGGCTGGGGCTGGGGCTCAAGTGACAGAGTGCTTACCTAGCACATGTGAGGCACTGGGTTCGATCCTCAGCACCACATAAAAATAAAGATATTGTATCCACCTAAAACTAAAAAATAAGTATTAACAAAACAAAACAAAACTAAAAAATAAGTATTAACAAAACAAAACAAAACTAAAAACAAATTGAAAACAGGAAAAAACTGACATAATCCACAAAGGGATACTAACCCATCAGCCATGAAAACACACCTGGAAGCTGTCATAATGCAGTGTTGCCCTGACACATGCAGAGGCCAAGATTAGCAGAACAAAAAGTCCAGAGATAGATTACAACCCCTGATGAACTTAATACAAAGCCAGGTATGTATGGTGGCAGGAGCCAGCTCCAGCAACTTAGAGAAGCTCTGAGCAACTAAGACCCCATCTAGAAATAAAAAATAAAAAGGGGCTGGAGATATGGCTCTGTGATTAAGCGCCCATAAATTCAATCCCCAGTGGGGGGGGCGGGGAGGAGGAGGAGGGCATATAGAAATTCTTATGCTATTTTTGCAACTTTCCAAAAGTATGAAATTACTTTAAAATAAAATGTTAAATAAGCCAAGTAGTAGGGTGGGCCACATAGTGATTGAAATATAGGCATCACATGGCTCTGGCCTTGTCAGGTTCACAAACCTGTTTTCAGTGTGCATGGCAGAGCCAAGCAGAGGTTAATCCTGAGGCCACTGTCCACACAGCTTGCTCAGCCAGACAGCCTATCTGCTGCCCCCGCGCACACACATGCTCTGTTTGGCGCCGGGAGGAGAATAGGAAGCCAGGTGAAGACTGTGTACATTAAGTTCCCCAGGGAAAGTCCCTGAATGCCATTCCAAGGAGTTCCACCGCAATGTGAGGGGGAAGTGGAACGACCAAGAGCCTAAAAGCAGGAGAGTGCGAGAGAGTAGAGTAAGGAACATTTGCGGAGCACTGACACGCCAGGTATGTCTGTGAGTGTGTTTTTCACAGATCCATTTAACGGATATAATTATCTCTATTTTTCTGACAAAGAAATTGAGGCAAATATCAGTAACTGCCCAAGTTGTACAGCTGATGAGTGGCAAGAGAAATCTGAATGCAGGAACTTGAACTCTAGAGCCAGGGCTCTGAACCCCTCATTGTCCACCTAAGGACAATGAAGCAAATGTCCCAGCACATCGTGCAAAACCAGGGCGGAGGGGAAAGGGCCCTGGGGCTGGCCAGGCCCTCAACAGGCCAGGTGGAGCACAGCGCGGCCTTGTCCTTGCCATGTGAGGCCAGCAACTCCCCTTAAAAGTAGAGAATTTAAGAGAGCTGAAATGGGTGTCACGGAGCTTGCAATTCTAAACATCACTGTCCCTACTGAGGAAACTGGCAATTTTGGTGAATTTCAGGGTCCTGAAGTCCCAGGAAAATGATTTTGTGTTGTTGCCTGTGAAAAAGTAAGCACAGTAAGTGTGACCAAAAAAATTACTTCTATGACTTTAGCATGTTGTTGGAATTAAAATAGAGCATACTATAGATGATCCTAATTTATTCTTGAAAACAAATGCCCACATATCTACTTAGAATATGCTTTGTTAGAAATTACTGAGAAATGTAACTATTTGTATTGACAGTTGATAAATCAGATTTTTCTCATCGGAGACTAGCTTCACACCTCCTCTAACAAAAAATAATAAAACAACACAGGGGTCAGGGGTAGCTCAAGGGTACAGAGCTTGCCTAGCATGCATGAGGCCTTGGGTTCAATCTCCAGCGCCACACACACAAAAAAAAAAGAAAGAAAAAATAAATAATTCACAAGAGGCTGAGGTGGGTTGGGGCACAGGGTGCCGAGGGAGACTGGTGCTGACACTTCTTGACTGAGTGTCAGTCCGTCCGCCTTTTTCCTCTTACCTTCCTGAGATATGGAGAGCCTGGCCCTTCCTCTGTGTCGCTCACAATGCTTTCGGGTACTTCAAAGATGTTGTCTCCACTTGCTTTCTTCCTTTGAGGGCTGCCACAGTTTTCCCCTGCAGAGTTTTTGGTGGCAGCTTCCCTAGGATAAAGCCTCTTGGGTGCTGATTTTCTTGAGATATACTCTGGAGTCTGGCTGGTTCCACTTTTATCAGCCTTCGAATTTGACCGTATCATATCTGACCTGAGATGTTAACAGGGATTAAATGAGCTGTTTCTTTGAAATATGTATATGTATGTATGTGTATATGTATGTTGTTTTTTTTTTTTTTTTTGAGGAGTACCAGGGATACTTAACCAGGGGTATTTAAGTACCAGGAGTACTTAACCACTGAGCCACATCCCCAGCCCTTTTTATTTTTTATATTTAGAGACAGGGTCTCACTAAGTTGCTTAGGTCCTTGCTAAATTGCTGAGGCTGGCTTTGAATTTGCAATCCTCCTGTCTCAGCCTCCTCACTCACTGGAGAAATATATCTTTTATATAATTAATGGAGCAATGTGAATGACAATGATAGTGCTGATTTAGAGGATGTACTTAGATAATACAGAATTAATTGTTGAAACCTACCATTTATGTATATGATCATTTAGAAACTCCTTTGACTTCATATTATATGTTAACAGGATCAAGTGAGAAAAAAAGTTAAATAAATTATTAGAAATATGTAGAATGAAACATCATGAGGTCATGAAAACCTATGTTTTGGGCATGGGGTTGTGGCTCAGTGGTCAAGTGCTTGCCCAGCACAGTGAGGCTATGGGTTCTATCCTCAGCACCACATAAAAATAAATAAATAAAATAAAGGTATGTTGTCCATCTACAAATAAAAAAAAAATCTGTACATGTTCAGTGCAGATGCAAACTTAAAAATATAAATAAAACCTATATTTTCAAGTCATAATCAATGATGCTGGAACACACATATTCACAATATATTTTATGGAGAAAAACCAGAATACAAAACAACACATTACATGATCCCACTCCTTTTTTCTCCTTTTTTATTTTTGGTACCAGGGATTGAACCTAGGAGTGCTTTACCACTGAGCCACGTACGTGCCCAGCCCTTTTTAATTTTTAATTCTTTAAGTTGTTTAATCCTCATAAAGTTGTCAAAGCTGCTGAAACTTCTGATCCACCTGCCTTCATGTCCCTAGTTTCTGAGATTACAGGAACTCACTATGTGCCCAGCCCAATCTTGTTTTAAAATACAAGTATATGGGGGGCGGGGAGTCTGAAAGAAAATTCAGTGAGCTAAAATGTTAATAGTAGCTATTTCTGAGTGGGGCAATTATGGGTGAATTCTATTTTATTCTTCTTTTTTTTAATATTTATTTTTCAGTTGTATTTGGACACAATACCTTTATTTTATCTATTTATTTATTTTTATGTGGTGCTGAGGTTTAAACCCAGGGCCTCGCACATCCCAGGTGAGCGCTCTACTGCTGAGCCACAACCCCAGCCCCTATTTTCTTCTTTGTACTTTTATGTATTTTCCAAAATTTCTACTATAACTTTGTGTGACTTTACAACAAATTATGCCTCCCACCAAAATGTTATTAAGGAAAAGAAAAATAGAAAAAAGATAAATGGGGCTGGGGATGTGGCTCAAGCGGTAGCGCGCTCGCCTGGCATGCGTGCGGCCCGGGTTCGATCCTCAGCACCACATACCAACAAAGATGTTGTGTCCGCCGAGAACTAAAAAATAAATAAATAAATAAATAAATAAAAGAAAAGAAAAAAGATAAATGATTATCCCTGTATCTGAGAAAGAAGAGTTTTATGTAATGAATAACATACTTTCCTGCAAAACTTGACACTGAAAATTGAAATGAGTTTTGAATGATAACAAAGATAAATCAGATAGCCCTGTTAAGTTCTGATCAGAAGAGAAAAAAACAAATATCTGATACAACATTGGTGAAGTTTCAACATTAGGATTTGGTGTTACTCTAGCTCTTCTAGATTGGGACAAAATTTCTGACCTAATGTTTTACTCCCCAGTTGTTTCCTAAGTGAATGCCACTGAATTATTTCAGAATAAGATGGCATGGCTTTCCTCAACCAATAACAAATTTAAAACATAGATTTACCTTTTTCGTGTCTGCGAGAGACACAGTGATTGTGGCGAAGATGCCCGACTTGGGTCATCAGCCAAGGTAGCCAAAATAAAGTTAGCTTCCAGTAGCATGTCATCAATACTCAAAGCCATTGGTCTAAAAGGGCAGAGTCAGAGCAAAAATAACATTTATTTTCTGGTGGTCATTAAGAATGCATTAAAGATGATAATTATGGAATAAAAAGAAATAGTACCTATCCTTTCATGTGGGAATCTTTAATAATCTCAAATAACCACAGTCCTAAGAGCTGAAAGATCCCTTAGAAATCATTAAATTCAATTTCATAAATACACCTCAACCCAATCCCATTTAAAATTTTAGTTTGGAGGGGTTAGKGATGTAGCTCAGTGGTCCAGCACTGGCCTAATGTGTGAGACCTTGGGTTCCAGCCCCAGCCCCACAAATTTTTGCTCTGAAATATATAAAGTCTCATAGTTTCATAGGGATTTTAACTTGCTTAAGCCATATAGGGTTTTCTAATTAGGCAATTTATTCAGCAGCATGTCAAATTTATAAATGTTTCACTCTGCAAAAACATGTATCTTTCTCAATCAGGTTCCAATTTAAAAATGCCATTTGGCATCTTTCAAAACTTTACTTTGATACATGAAGCTAGTAAAGTTAAGGAATTCCTGGGGTGTGAATTAATTTCACCATGATTCAAAGGGTTTTATTATCACAAAAGAGTGAAACTCAGAAAAGTTCCCAAGGACCTACTTTCCAGGAAAATCAAAATGAATGGATATAGGAACATGGATAGCTTCTGAAAACATCAGCATTCCCTGAGGAAGAAAATTTTAAAAAAAACTTTAAATCTTTATGAAAAATACCAGTAAAAACCTGAATTTGAATTTGACACAAATATTTGTTTACCTTCAATTCTTTGAAGCAAAATGTTATTTCTGTATCCAACCCAATCTGAAAGAAGTCAAACTCATCTGGGCCAAAAGACATCTCACTGTACACAGAATTTGTCAAATCTGTTTAATGTCATAGAAAAAATAAAGAATAAAATGAGTCCCAGAGGCATTTATTAAATTTTAATGTGAAAATAAAATATAAAGGCTAGGTTAAAAAATAGTCACAAATTCTTTGACATTCCTTGAGAAGTGGGTTCTATGTCTACGTCCCTTCCCCTTGAATCAGGGTAGGATCCGGAGTGCTTTGACCAAAAGATATGGCAAAGAGACCTGCACCGGTTTCTGTGTCCAGACCTTAAGAGACTGGCAGTCTCCTCTTCCTGTCTGTGCAATACTGACTCTTGTAACTCAGCTACCAGGTGCATGGTCACGGGCCCTGCTGAGCTCCCAGCATCCACCAGAAGCCATGTGAGTGCACCTTCTTCACATCTTCAGATGATTCCAGCCCCAGCCACCATCGGATAGCCCTCGTTCCCCATTCTCCTCCCAGCCACTGGCAACCATTAACCTATTATCTGTTCTCTGGATTTAGCTATTCTGGATATTTCCTATATGTGGACTCATTTAATATGTGGCCTTTGGTATCTGGTTTCTTTCACTCAGCACAATGTTCTCAAGATTCATCCACACTATAGCTTCCACCCAGACTTCATTCCTTTTTATGGATAAATGATGTTCAATTGTATGGAGATATCACAGTTTCTTTATTCATTTGTGAGTTGAAAACATTTGGCTTCCATTCTGTGGCTATTATGAGTAATGCTCCTATGAATATTCATGTGGACCATGAGGCAGAGCTCACAGTCCTAAAGATGGCAAAGGAACAATACAAAAAAAGCCTGGTGCTTTGATGAACATGGAATAATCATTATCAACCACTATTATTTTATTTTCTGCCACTCATATTTAAAGATAATTCTAAATAACATACCCTATAATTTTTAAATTTTATGTTCCTTTAAACAGAAACAAACTTCACATCTTACTTTTTTTTTTTTTTTTTGTACTGAGAACTGAAACCAAGGAGGGCTTTACCATTGAGCTAAGTCCACAGCCCTTTTCTGAATTGCTTAGGGCCTTGTTAAGCTGCTGAGGCTGGCCTCAAACTTGTGATCCTCTTGCCTCAACTTCCCAAATTTCTGGGATTACAGGCATGTGCCATGGTGTCTGGCCATATCTTCTTCTTCTTCTTTTTTTTTTTTTTGGTACAGGGGATTGAACCCAGATGCGCTTAACCACTGAGCCACATCCTCAGTCCTTTCTGTATTTAGAGACAGGGTCTTGCCGAATTGCCTAGGGCCTTGCTGAGTTGCTGAAGCAAATCTMAATCCTCCTGCCTCAGCCTCCAATTCCATCAAGAAAGTAAAAAATAGGTTTACAGGAGTGCACCACCGAGCCCAGCTTCCAGACATATCTTATGTCATCTATTCAAAAAAAGATGATTTGACTTAGTTCAACAATGTATTATCATAGCATACCCTGATGTTTGGAATTTACATGTACATTTCAAGATAATCAAGGATTTATGTATTATTCCCTCTATAACATATTCTTCTATGATTTAAAAATTGAATGATGGCTGAGCATGGTAGTACATGTCTTTAATCCCAGCAGCTCAGGAGGCTGAGACAGGAGGATCACAAGTTCAAAGCTAGCCTTAGCAACCACGAGGCACTAAGCAATTCAGTGAGACCCTGTCTCTAAATAAAATACAAAACAGGGCTGGGGATGTGGCTCAGTGGTTGAGTGCCCCTGGGTTCAATCCCTGGTAACCCACCCCCAAAATTGAATGATGTACCAAAAATCATGTAACGAAAGAAAATAGATGAGTTGGCTCCATCAAAATTTAAGACTTTTGTGGGGCTGAATTTGTGGCTCAGAGTGAGAGTGCCCACCTCACATGCATGAGGCACTGGATTAGATCCTCAGTACCACATAAAGATAAAATAAAGATATTGTGTCCACCTATAACTAAAAAAATTTTAAAAAATTTAGGACTTTTGGGCTAGGGTCCTGACCCAGTGGTAAAGCACTTGCCTCACCTGTGTGAGGCACTGGGTTCAATTCTTAGCACCACATATAAATAAATGAATAAATGAAGGTCCATCAACTACTAAAAAAAAAAAAAATTTTTAAGTGATAGAGGGGGGCTGCGGTTGTGGCTCAGTGACAGAGCACTTGCCTAGCATGCATGGATTCGATTCTCAGCACCACATACAAATAAATAAAATAAAGGTCCATCAACAACTTAAAAAAAAATGATAGAGGGCTGGGCTGTGGCTCAGCAGTAACACTCTTGTCTGGCATGTGTGAGGCACTGGATTCGATCTTCAGCACCACATATAAACAAATTAATAAAGATCTATCAACAATTAAAAAAAGTGATAGATAATGTTTAAAAAAGTTTTAAGACTTTTGGGCTGGGGATATAGGTCAGTTGGTAGAGTGTTTGCCTTGCATGTACAAGGCCCTGGGTTCAATCCCCAGCACCACAAAAAAAAAAAAAAAATTAAGACTCTTGTGCTTCAAAATATTCYATCAAGAAAGTAAAAATCAGCCAGGAACAATGGTGCACACCTGTAATCCCAGCAACTTGGGAGGCTAAGACAGGAGGACTGCGAATTCAAAGCCAGCCTCAGCAATGGTGAGGCGCCAAGCAATTCAGTGAGACCCTATCTCTAAATAAAATACAAAACAGGGCTGGGGATGTGGTTCAGTGGCCAAGTGCCCAAGTTCAATCCTCGGTACAAAAAACAAAAAAGAAAGAAAGAAGGAAAGTAAAAAAACAACCTAAAAAATTGGAGGAAATATTTGCAAATCTATATATAATGAGCTAGCATACAGAATAATCAAAAGACAATCCAAGTAAAAAAAATGAACAAGGGATTTAAACAGACTTTTTTCCAAAGAAGAAATGACCAATAAATACATGAAAAGATACTCGACATCATTAGTCATTAGAGAAATGCAAATCAAACCCGGAATGAGGCACTACCTCACACCCACTAGGCTGGCTGTAATCCAAAAGACAGACAATAACAAGTATTGTCAAGGATATGAGAAATCAGACCCCACATGTGGCTGGGGGGATGTTCAATGGGACACTCGTCATTGAAAAACAATATGGCAGGTTTTCAAAATATTAAATATGATATTACTGTAAGACTCAGCAATTTAACTCCTAACTATATACCCAGATAAATGAAAACACATAATCACAAAAAATCTTGTAGATTAATGTTCATGTTAGCTCTATTCCTAAGAGCCTTATTCATATGAAACAATCAAAATGTCTGTCATGGTTTAGCTATGAGGCGTCTCCCAAAAGCTCATGTGTGAGATAATACAAGAAAGTTCATAGGTGAGATGATTAAGTTATGAGAGTCTTGACCTAATCAGGGCATCGTCCACTGATATGGATTAACTGGGCGGTAACCATAGGCAGGTAGGGTGTGGCTGAAATAAGCAGGTCACTGGGGGTGCATCTTTGGGGTTTTTATTTTCCCTTAGTGAGTGGAGCTCTCCCTCTGCTTCCTTGTGGCCATGTTCTGAGCTGTTTTCCTCCTCTATGCCATGATGTTTTGCCTCATCTTGGGCCCAGAGCTCTGGGGTAGGTGATCTATGGACTGAGACCTCTGAAACCATGTGCCAAATAAACATTTCCTCCTCTACATTCTTGTCAGGTCTTTTCTTGTCAGCAAAGAATAAGCTGACTAAAACAATGCCCACCAAATGGTGAATGAATAAATCAAATGTGGCATAACCATAGAAAAGAATATTATTCAGCAATTTAAAACGAAGTACTGATAAACACTATAACATGGAACATCCTTGAAAACATTGTGCTAAATAAAAGAAGGCAGACTCAAAAGGCCACATGTTGTATGATTCCATATTTCATACAAAATGTCCCAGGATAGGCAATCCATAGATACAGAAAGTAGATTAGTTGTCACTTAGGGCTGGGGCTGGRAGGAAATGAGAACAAATCCACATAGAATAAAAAATGAATTTATTCTTTAAATGAATCACTCATATGGTATATAAGTTATATCTCAATAATATTATCTTTTTAAAAACTATTCATGATGAATTTGGGGGAACTACCTGTAATCTTAGCAACTTGACAGTCTGAGACAGGAGGATCAAGGATCAGAAGTTCAAGGAAAGCCTAACAACTTAGCAGGACCCCATCTCAAAATAAAATAAAAAATAAAAAGGACTGAGCCAAGTGTGTTGGCACATGCCTGCAATCCCAGCAGCTTGGGAGCAGCAGGAGGATGCATTCAAAGCCAGCCTCAGCAAGCCAGCAAGGTCATAAGTAACTTAGTGAGACCTGTTTCTAAATTTAAAAAAATAAAATAAAATAAAAGGGCTGGATGTGATTAAACGCCCCTGGGTTAAATCCCCAGTACCAAAAAATAAAAGTAAAAAAGGGCTGAGAATGTAGGTCAGTGGTAGAGCACATCTGGGCTCAATCCCTAGTACTGAAGGAAAAAAAGGAGGAGGAGGAGGGGAAGGAGGAGAARGAAGAGGAAGAAGAATGAATTTGGAGGGAAAAGGGATTTGTTTGTTTGTTTCTCAAATCCCATCCCATTTCCTCCCCCACCCTCCCACTCCTGACAATATCTGTGTACTGTTTATAAGTACCTTTGTTCAAAAGAGAAATTCAGTATATTTTTATATTCCTCTTGCATTCCTGACTTCCACAATTTAGAGACTATTACAAGAACATTTCACATAAACTGCTTATGTAAAAATACCAGAGTTCTTACCTAAAGTGATCTGAGATGAATAAAATTCACACACACATAACATGACTTTAATAGTTTCTTAGTATATCAGTACCTTCATTCAATCTTCTGCTGTTCTAACTGAAATACAGAAGATACACCAAACTATCTCTGGATAGCAGGACTTCAGGTGACTTGTTTTATTTGTGCTTTTTTTTTTTCTTCTTCAATGAACATGAATTATATACATAGTAAGAACAAAGGTTAATCATATGTATTTTTAAAAGGGTCTCTTAAATATGCATTCATCTCAATCAAAGAAGGCTCCCACACACCCAGTGTTTCAGAATAGAGGAGGTTCCATAAGATTACACAATGATATGTACCATAACTACTCATTAGAAAGCTGCTTATGAGAGACAGCGCTCACTGGTTACTAAATGGCCATCTATTCAGAGATGGTACTAGCCCAGCACGGGTTTTCCACCTCATGTACTCCCAACTGCTAAAATCAGAATCTGGGGGACCTGAGGGAGGCGTTTGAGACAGTGGGGGAGAGCCTGCTCTCTGAAGCCTGTTTGTGGACCACAGGCCACTACCACGGCATGCAGCACCAGGCCGGTCCCACAGTTCCTCTGGGCTTCAACTTCAATAAGAGTACTGAGATAGAACAAGAAAGGCCTGAGTTGCCGATCATGTTTTTCACCTTTAACAATAAGCTGGTTTGCCCCAGTTATGCCACCTGCTTTCTTTAAAGCTTCCAGGGGCCCCTCCCTGACTGCCACCTGCGCAGAATGCCCGGCTCTGACAGTTTTGGCCTTCCTGGGGTGGCAGTTTTGAGCCCTTCACCGTCTCTGCAAACAGTCCTGGCACACGTGAGCAAGTAGCCAGGTCGAACCGCAGACCCGGCGCCGAGGGCAAAGCCCAGAGAAGTGGGCACAAACCCTGAACCCTGGGCCGCGCCGTGGGGCGCGGAAATCGCCGATGTCTCCCCCAAACGCCGCCGCGCACCCGACTAGCGCACGTCTCCCCGGCGCTGGGGCTCCAAAGCCTCGCTCACCTGGTGCCGGGTGCCTCTTGGTGATTTCCATTTCCAGGTGGGCTGATCGGCCACGGCTCCACATCAGAGTTGTTGGGAAGATCAAATGAATTCGCAGCGGCAGCTCTAGGACCCACCCTGGCACACACCGACCCCATGGAAGCCTGGTTCTGCAGGCTTTTCCCCTTAAAATGATACCGTTCCTCCCTTCACATCACCGAAAACAAAAGATCTAGGGTCAAAAAGTTCCCAAGACCCCGCGGGTTTTCACTCACGGTCAAAACCCCACCGCAGGCGGGCGCCCCAGCGTTGAAGACCCGAGGCCGGAGCGCTGCACCATCTCCAGGCAAGGCGCCCCACGCCGCCAGGAAACGCTAGGAACAGCTGAATTGAGGAGTGGTCACACATTTTTGCCCCGTGTATTTGCTAAATGGAGTAATTAACATTTCTAATTAAAAGTTACTGTCTCTTCTTGCTTAGTCAGGATCATCTCCAAGAGCCTGGGCGCGATGGTACATTCCTGTAATCCCCGCGGCTTGGGAGGCTGAGGCAAGAGGATCGCGAGTTCAAAGCCAGCTCCAGCAAAAGCGAGGCGCTAAACAACTCAGTGAGACCCTATCTCTAAATTTAAAAAATACAAAATAGGTTTAGGAATGTAGCTTAGTGGTCGAGTGCGCCCGAATTCAATCCCCAGTAACAACAACAACAAATCATCTCTTTGCTTTTCTTTATGTTAAACACACAGGGTGATAGAAGATAAGAAATAGACCTTAAAATCTTAACTGAAAATATATTTCCCTCAGTAACCATTCTCTTCATTTTAAAATAACCTGAATTTCAAAACCAAATATTTTAATCAGTATTGTGTTAAATGTCCTGGATCTCTTAAAAAAATTATGATCTTTCTACATCTTACTGCTTTTTAGATACATATATTATGCTATTAATATGCCCTGCAAGGCTAGCAATGAAGATAGCCAGGAAGGAGAATCCATCAAAGCAAGGCAACAGATATTATCCTTACCCATGGAATCCTCACTAGAACTCTTGAGGCAAAAATTCAGTGGAGTAACAGCAAGGGTGACCTCCTCTTGACTTGATGTAAAAAGAACAATCGCCTCAGCAAGCAGTCTATAAAATGTAATGAAATGTCTTAACATCACTTGGAAAACAAACAAAAAGACATCCTTGTTAATTGGGACTTGAATCTTTAATCTGGAAATTAATAATTGGCCTGCGCTTAAGAAAATGTACCCAAAAGGCCTGTTTTCTTTCTTATATGTCAACTGTCGTATGTCTAGTATATTTTTAAATTAGAATTTCACTTKAAGTCCAAGAGAATAGCAAAATACATCTGACAGCTGCAGCATGAACAAAAACACCACATTACATATATTATGTGTGTGTGTATATATACATATAGAAGTCCATTCGTTTAGTTGATCTGAGATCAGACTGAAAAGGGAGACAGTCGAAAATGAAGCTGTTTAAATACAGCTGGGGTGAACTATGCTGGAGGCCCAGTTAAGGGGGTGGAGTTTGATAAGCAGCCTGCTGCCTGTATTTTCTTTTGCTTTGTTATTTTCCTGGACAACCTATTGTCTGTTACAAGGCTCTCTGGATATCCCAAGTGCTCAATACAGCTTTCCTGAGCTATAACTCACAGATAACACAACACACAGATTTAAAGTCTGATTTGCATTTTCCTAATGACTTTTTATCTGTTTTACCTGTGTATTGGCCATTTGAATGTCCTCTTTGGGGAAATGTCTATTAAAATCCTTTGCCCATTTTTTAGTTGGGTTGTTTTTTCAAAGATTGCATTACAAGTTCTTCTCTCCTTTTGAAATTGAAGTGTTGTTAGATAAAAGTGAAATTCTTAGAATTTATGCAATCTTGGTGTCAACCTGATGTTAGACATTAGCTTAGCAGTGTTTACTGATGTCTAAATGTCAGGAACACCAACCAAGTTCATTTGAGAACTTTTTCATTGTTGAGGGAGAGGTAGTGAGGGGTGTTATACAACTCCTTCTCTTTCTCCTCTCCTTCCCCCCACCAGTTCTGGGAATGAACCAAGGGCCTTGTGCAAGTGCTAAGCAAAGTGCTCTACTACTGAGCTACACCCCTAGCCGCTAAGAAGCCAACTATCTTCCATACAAGAACCAAATGCTAATAAATACATTTTTAAATGCCCAAGCTCACTACTAATAAGGAATACACAACAATAAAGAATATCTAATAATACCATTTTTTTTACCTATTAGATTTGCAGACATTTTAAAGATTTATTATATCCTCTACTTAGAAAAATTCTCCTATATTTTGGTAGGAATGAAGACTGACCCAAACTTCACATGGCAATTTAATAGTATCTATGCAAATTTAAAATTTGTATAAGCCTTTGACCCAGTAATTCCATTTCTAGGACTCTGGGTTAGGTAGCCTATAACATGGCCCCAGTGATCGCCAGCTCCTGATGTTCACGCCCTTAACCTCTTTCCCTTAAATAACATGGGGTAGATTTCTTTTTTTTTTAATTATTTTTTAGTTGTAGTTGGACACATAACTTTATTTTATTTATTTTTATGTGGTGCTTAGGATCGAACCCAGAGCCTCACATGTGCTAGATGAGCGCTCTACCGCTGAGTCACAACCCCAGCACCTACGTTCATTTCTAACACAGAGAAAATGGAAGAAGTGATGAGATGGCAATTGTGAAATTACAGGATCAAAAGACCTTGGCCTCTGTCTTGCCAGTACTGTCTGTGTTCTCACTTGCTCAGAGCAGTTATCATTTGTGAAGAYACTTAGGCAGCTATAGACAGGCACATATGGCAAGGATCCCAGGCCTACCAATAACCACATGTCTTCCCAACAGCCCTGGCAATGAGCTTGGAAGTGAATTCCCCAAACTGAGCCTTTAGATGAGACTGTAGCCCTTGCAATGTCTTGACTTCAGCCTCATGAGAGACCTTGAGCCTGTAACACCCTGCTAAGCCACACTTGTTACTATAGAATAAAAAATGTCTGACTTTGAAGGCACTAAGTTTTGGGGAAATGATGAATACACTATCTTGTGTCCTGCTAGCAGAATTATTTATGACAGCAGAAAGTTGGAACAACCTAAATTTTCTTTTTTTTTTTTTTAAAGAGAGAGTGAGAGAGGAGAGAGAGAGAGAGGTTTTTTTTTTTTAATATTTATTTTTTAGTTCTCGGCGGACACAACATCTTTGTTGGTATGTGGTGCTGAGGATCGAACTGGGCCACACGAATGCCAGGCAAGCACGCTACCACTTGAGCCACATCCCCAGCCCCGAACAACCTAAATTTTCATCAAGAGGTTAGAGTAAGCAAATCATGACTCAGATATATAATGAAAAATTATGTAATCATTCAAAAGAATAAGATTGATTTAAGTGAACTGATATAGAAATATGCTCACAATTATATACTAAGATTTAAAAAGTAAGTTGTGGAAGAAAAAGAAAAAAAAAGCAAGTCATGGACGGGGGATGTGGCTGAATGGTGGAATGCTTGCCTAGCATGCACAAGGCCACAGGTTCCATCTCTACCACTGTGGGTAGGGGAACAAGTGGCCAAACAATATAGAGAGTAGAACATTTTCTTAAACAAACAAACAAACAACTATATATGTGTAGTAGGTGATATTAAGGAAATAGAGATTTATAACAATAGGGAGAAATACAAAATTGTTAATAAAGGGGACCTGACTGCCAAGTGGGACAGGAGGTGGCAGAGAATACTTTCATTATTTACCTTTGCACATTTCTATATATTTGGATGTATTAAAAGGAATAGGTGTAACTTTTGTAATTTAAAAAATAAAGAACCTGTGTAACTCTACATCATGTACAATCAGACAAATGAGAAGTTACACTCTATTTATTTATTTATGATGTGTCAAAATGCATTCTACTGTAATGTATAACTAATCAGAAAAAAAATTTTAAAAAACCCCAAACAATAAGAAGTCAGGCTTAGTAGTGGACGCCTGCAATCCCAGCAATTTGGGAGGCTAAGGCAGGAGAATCACAGGTTTGAGGCCAGACTCAGCAACTTAATGAGACCCTATCTTAAAAAAATAAAAGGGATGGGGATATAACTCAGTTGTAGAGCACCCCTGAATTTAATCCTTAGTAACACATACACACGTGAGTGCATGCGCGAACACACACACACACACACACACACACACACACACACGAATAAGGATGAAATAAACTTTGGCTCACAGCAAAAACTGGGTGTAATTTCACTGACAAAATACTTCACTCATTATCTAGAGAAAAAAAGCATTTAGGGATAAAATCAGTCTGCATTTAAAATGTTTAAAAAGTTTCCTGCTGCTGTATGTTCTAAGATTTAGATAGGTACCATATAAATGTAAGTATTATGAGATAATATATTCTTCTCCTTTGATAGAACTTGATGTAAAAAATCATGATAGGATATTTTTAGAACTTTCTTGGCCACTAAATTATTGCTGCTATCATTAGGCAGTTATCATCTACTATATCAAATTTCCTTTTGACCCTGTAAAGTGATTTTTCTAAGTCAAGTTTTAGCTTTAAAAAAAAACCTGTAAGTAGGGCATTATTTTTTCATCCTGTGGCCATACTATATTCAGAAAAAGAAAAGTAAACAACATAAAACTCATTACCTTGGCTGAATCATCAGTGTATTAGTACACATATTCTTCTCAAAAATAACTTGCAAAGGCTGGCTTTCTTGAAAACACACATTATGAGTTCTTTTAATACCTTAAAAATAACAAAGCAAACTCTTAATCATTTTAAGCACAAGAAAAACAGATTTTTTTGAATCTTTAATTTTGACAGCACAAATAAAATAAAGTAACATTTGCTATATGGCAGGTGCTCGAAGTTCGGAGCAGCACTGTTCCTCAATGAGATCTGTTACCGCTCCCTAGTGGACTCCAGGCAACATGACACCCAGGACCAGGGAGGCAGTGAAGAACCCCAAATCCTCTGAAAGACAGTTCCTTAATTTGTAAAACAGTCACCAGCCACTATAGACCATATCTCTTTCAGCTTCTCTTATCCAGATTGATTTTTCAGACAGGACTTTTGGCAGTTAGACCTCCACATCTGGTCTGTGAATTATTTTCCCTTTTGAGGAAAAAGAGAGGTAGCAACATAAATTGAGTATCCCGTATTCCAAATGCTGAGACCCAAAGTKTTTCAGATTTGGGAGTTTTGGGGATTTTGAAATATTTGCATAGACTTTACAGGTGGAACAACCCTAATCTGAAAACTGGATTTCAGACCTCAGCACCCTTCAGATTTCAGATTTTTTGGGTTAGGGATGCTCCTCCAGAATGAGTCTGACCCTCAAATGAATATGCTAGGAAGTACACATTTCACGTACATCCTCTGTGATCCTCGAAATATCCCTRTAGTGTAGAGGTTTAATCTCAGAAGAGGAAACTGCATCTCAGTGAGGTTACATGACTTTTCAAGGTGATACAATTTTAACAATTACAATTAAAACTATGAATCTATTTGCATACAGAACCCATGCAATAAAATCCAGGGGGGCTATGATTTTCTAGCATAATTATGTTACACTGAAGCTGGGTATAGTGGCACATGCCTGTAATACTAGTGACTTAGTAAGCTGAGGCCTCAGCAACTTAGGGAGACCCTGTCTCATAATAAAAAATAAAAAGGACAAGTATGTAGCTCAGTGGTGGAGCACCTCAGTACCAAATAATAATAAAATAATGTTGCAGTGAGAATCAAAGGGCTCACTAGAAACATTTCTCAACTTACATGTTTGGTGTTTTATTGTTCTTTGTTTTATTTTGCTGAATTAATAACAAAATAATATTTATTAACTTAATATTACTGAGTGTGTATCTGGCTGTATTAACCAGCTCAGACCACATGAGAAGAAATCACTCCAAAATTTAGTAGCTTAAAATAACCAGCACTTGTTACTTCCCACAATTTAGCTGAGGGCTTTTCTGGCCTAGGCTGGGCTTAGCTGTGGTTGGATCATGTAGGATGCCCTTGTTCCCTATCTGGGCCTCAGCAGGAACAAGTGGGAGAGTTGGGACAGCTGAGGCCTCTCCCCACCTAGCCAGGAGTGCTCCAGGAGGCCACACCACACTTGTTCTCATGCTGATGGAAAGGTTCTCAGTGGTGGAAGCTGACAGGCCTCTTGAAGTCCTGGCTTGGAACTCAAACAAAATCACTTCTAATGAGTTCTTCTAGTATCAAAGCAAGTTTCCAGTCAGTCAAGATTCAAAGTGGGGAAACATGCCCCAGCTTTTGAAGAAGAGACTACATATAATTTGGGATTTTTTTTTTTTGTAATATACCACATAGGGATGATTTTTAGAAGCTGGAAATATCAGAGAACAAATCAGACAAAAGTCTTTGTCCTCACAATTTACATTCTAGTAAGGGAGACTGACAATAAGAACATAAATGTGTAAAATGATAGGCTATGGAGGAGAACATGCACCCCCAGAAAGAAGTACACCACGGCTTTTGAATCCTGGACAAACTTATGAGTCAATCCTAAGATCTTTGCTTTTGCCCTGAGCAAAATCGGGAGCTACTTGAGAATTTTGAGTTTGAATGATATAATCTGACCTATATTAAAGGGTGGCTTTTTTAGGAAGGCACAAAGCTCAAAAACTGACATCTCTTACCTGTTTTTTAAAATATTTTCTTGTCACTTATGGCGAGATGATAATAGGTACATGTAGAATCAAAGTCAAAGATAACAAAGAACAGCAAGTGAAAAGGAAGTCGCCCTCCCCTGGTTCCTGCCTTAGCCCCCACAGAAGCCACTTCCATCACCGTGTCTTAGGTAGTCTTGAGAAATAGCCCATGCATATCAAAGCACCTTCTTACCCACATAGCATTTGGATCAAGTGAACACTGGTGTTTCGGAGGGCTCAGGCTGAGGAGTGTCTTTTTCCGCTATCCCTGAGGCTCCCTTTTCCTCTACTTCCTTCCTTTCCCTTTTCCTTATGAAAGGCCCCGAATGCTCTCAACCTACCCCTTGGCTCACACTGCTTCCTCCTTCAGAATGACCTTCCACTGCCACCTGCTGGAAACTTGCCAATGGGACATCATTAGCCAGAAAATCTTTCCCCCTTGCCTCTCACCCAAAGAATATTCCACTATGTCCTTTTAGAAACAATTTGGCTTCACTGCACTAGTTCTTTTAGTCTAATACTAATTCTCTTTCATAGAATGCAAATGAGATAAAAATTTTAAAATTTGTTTTCTCTCTGGGTCACTTATTAACTTTAGTACACCACAAAGTACTGTACTATAATAAGGTGAGGAGTTTTCACCAGAATTTACTTCCTTCATCAAGAAAGTCTTACTATTAGGGGCTAAGGTTGTGGCTTAGTGATGGAGCACCTGCCTGGCACATGTGAGGCACTGGGTTCAATCCTCAGCACCACATTAAAGAAAAAGGGCTGGAGATGGGGCTTAGTGGTTAAGTGCCCCTGAGTTCAATCAAAAAAAAAAAAAAGAAGAAGAAGAAGAAGAAAGTCTTAACTATTAAGCCAGGCAATGCCAGCTACTGGCAGGGGCTAGTGGAGGTTGTGGCAGGAGGATCTCAGTTCAAGTCAGCCTCTGAATTTGGTGTGACCCTGTCTCAAAATAAAAAAACAAAAGGGATGGGAACATAGCTTAATGGTAGAGTACTTACCTAGCATGTGTGGTATTGATTCAATCCCCAATATGTCCCTCTCTCTCTCTCTCTCTCTCTCTCTCTCTCTCTCTCTCTCTCTCTCTCTCTCTCACACACACACACACACACACACACACACACACCATCTTACTATTTAAAAAAAAGCCAGGCACTGTGGCATGCACCTGTCTCTGTCTACTTGGAAGACTAAGGCAGGAGGATTGCTTAAGAACAGGAGTTTGAGCAACATTGTAAGTCCCCATCTCTTTAAAAACAACAATCAAACAAACAACAGCTAAACTAAAGAGAAGATTTAGTAATGTATTTGTCTTAAATTCTGACATAAGCTCATTATTAGGCCATGAACTCAGACAAGTTACAGATAATTTGGACCACTCTAAAGACCAGTGCTCCTGTCCATGGGTACTTGATCCTATGCTGGAGTTCTTGCTACTCCATAAGCTCAACTTAGAACTTCTCTCAATGGATCCAGAGAACTCTCTGAACCTGAAGCAGTACAGCTAAGGACCAACCGTTATGATAGAGATGTTATATTTGTGGAGTTTGGAATTTCAGAGGCAATCTGGTAGACCTTCAAATCTAGTAAGTTATTCAAATTTTTTTTTCTTTAAAATCATTTTGAGTCATTAGTACACTTGGAGAATACTCTTTGAGGAAAGCTTAAGACTTTGAGTCCAGCCCTTTGTACTTCACTTCAGTAATATACATGCATGAATCAGATTTTATTTTCCCTAAAAAAAAAAAAAAAAAAAAGTACACTCTCTTTTGGAAGCCCCTCTCTACTGGAGATCTAGCTCCTAGAGCCAGGACAGAATTACCAGCAGGGTGTTTGTATACAGCATGTTCTTTAGGGACAACCTACTGACTTTTTCTTAGCAACTCTGGGGTCAGGGCAAAAGGAAATATGAAGGACTGGTGATAGAAGTCATCCTTTGATTTATTAGCAGATGCTAAACAATGTAGAAAATCACTGTTCTGAATGTTGTTTATGGTTAGATTCACCAGGATATTGATGTAAAGCTGCAGGTTATTGATGTAAAGCTGCAAGCATAATTTGCTGAGCAATACAATTCTGGAGAGTACAACTACTTAATCCAGCTCTGTGCTTCACATAAGCAAGTTCACCTCAGCCTCAGTGCAACCTGTAATGTGAGGGTAGGCAAGATGATCGCCATTCTCCAGAGAAGAAAACAAAAGTTTGGAGAGTTCATGTGCTGCAAGAAGCTAAGATGAAGTGGAATGAATTCATACCCACATATTTGGGATGTTAAGACATGCTCTGTGTTGTAATCATACTCTTTGCATGATTCTGCTATCAGGTGAACTAAAGTTCAGAGAAGGGAAAATAATATCAAACCATTGGTATTTCTAAGGAAAAAATAAGGATTATAAATGTACAATGAAATTTAAATATGTTATGATAAGCGTAAGATAAACTTAAGAAAAATGTAACAGTAAAGGGGCTGGGGTTATGGCTCAGCAGTCACTTAGCACGTTTAAGGCCCTGGCATCCTCAGCACCACATAAATATAAATAAATAAAATAAAGGTATTGTGTCCAACTACAATTAAAAAATAAATGTTAAAAAAAAGAAAAATGTAACAGTAAGATACCTTCCTTAAGGTCGTTCTATTACAAAAAAAGATTTGGACTAATATCACAAGTTGAGATGTGTGTGTGTGCAGTACTGGGGATTGAACCTGTGTGTTTTGTCTCTGAGCTACATCCCCATCCCCTTTTTTAAAAAAAAAATTTCTTGTGGGGTGTTGGGGGCTGGGGTTGTAGTTCAGCGATGGAATGCTTGCCTCGCACCCATGAGGCACTGGGTTTGAKTCTCAGCACCACATAAAAATAAATAAATAAGGGGCTGGGGATGTGGCTCAAGCGGTAGCGCGCTCGCCTGGCATGCGTGCAGCCCGGGTTCGATCCTCAGCACCACATACCAACAAAGATGTTGTGTC